GATGTGTATTTGTGTGTAAGAGATTGTGTCTGTGTGCGAGCATATGTAAATGTGTGTGTGCTGTATATGTTTGTGTTTTTGTATGCTTATTAATAATAATAATGTAAATGTGATAATTATGAGTATTTAATTATGATTATTAATTGATTATTTCTAATTGGGTAAATGTGTGAGTGTGTACTGTATGTGTTTGTGTGAGTTTGTGTGTGTGTGTGTTTATTAGTATGTTAATAATTTTTATTAATTTCTAATAATTATGTAAATGCAATAATTATGATTATTTAATCATGTTTAATTAATTAATTTTAATCATTATCCACTTCTAATGATTATGTAAATGTGATATTCATAATTATTTTATTATGATTATCATTTATTTATTATTAATTATGATTAATTGCTAATAATTATGTAAATGTGATAATTATGGTTATTTATTGTTATTAATAATTAATTGTTAATACTTATGATTATAATTAATTATAATTAATTTATAATAATTATGTAACTGTAATAATTATGATTGTTTAATTATGATTAATTATAAATTATTATTAAATATTATTATCAATTATGATTAATTTATAATAATTATGTAACTATAATAATTATAATTGTTTAATTATAATCAATAATAAATTATTATTAAGTGTTATTATTAATTATGGTTAACTCCTAATTATTATGTAAATGTAATAATTATGATTATTTAATTTTGATCAATAATTAATTGTTATGATTATTGTTAATTTTTATTAATTTCTATAATTATGTAACTGTAATAATTATTTAATTATTATTAATAATTAATTATTATTAAATATTATTATAATTATGATTAATTTCTGATGATTATGTAAATGTGATAATTGTGATTATTTAATTATAAATAATAATAATTGGTATTAATTATGATTATTATTACAATTTTTTTTTTACAATTATGTAAATGTGAATGGGTATTGTATGTGTTTGTGTATGTATGTGTTTGTGTATGTGAATATGTTTGTGTAATAATAACTATTTCTAAAAAAAATTTCATGGTAATTATGATTAACTTCTGTCGGTCAGAGGGGGACAGGCAGTCGTGACATTCATTCTCATATTGATGGAGATGGTGTGTTTGGATATGTTATAAATTAAAGTACTCACACATCTTTGGCCACCTCTGCAGGACCTGGAAAAGACAAAAAATGAGATTTAAGTCCACATTAAACTTGTTTTTTATTAGTGCTTCATTGGTTATCAGCCCACTTTTATTGGTTATTTTATTGGTTACCCACAAGCACTTATTTCTCGGTTCTCAAAAATGTATCTCTGGGAACATTTTCCCAGTGTGCCTGTGTTGCGTTTATATATTGCTACTCTCTGTTGATTTGAAGTGCTTTATTTATTCTCCCTTATAAGTCACTTTGGATAAAAGCATCTGCGCAATGTAATCACGGTAAGTTAACTTTAGAAAAGCTTTTACTGCAAAACTGTAGAATAGGGAGTCCAGAGAGAAATCAACCATATAGACTCACATTTTTTCTCTCGCTGCTGATTGTCGAGGTCACAGGAGTAATGTTTGCAGGAGTTTTATTCAGTCTGCAGTTCAGTTCTTTGCTCAAAAATGTTCATTTGTGCAGTGTCTCTTTATTCACCCTTAAAGACAGAAAGCACAGTAGCGATTCTCAATATCTGGCTTTTCTCTTACACAGTCTCAGTGCCTGGAGCCATCACTCCACTCACTAAACTCTGTTTAGGCTCTTTGTTTTTTGAGGACTCAGTCCTTGCAGAGTACATGTGGAACTTGAACAATCTGGGTGTTTTTTGTTTGTTTGTTTTTGTTTTTGTTCTGATTTGAGAATCCATGTCAGTTTTATCTAGTCAGGAAATGTATCCAGGCAACCTGGTTATGTGTTGTTTTTGATATACAGACAATTTTAATATCTCAGTTGTGGACTTCTCATTTTGAAACGGCAGCATATGTTTATAAAAAACTGGCTGTTCATTTAATCACTCTCAGGTCATCCAAGATGTACACTGTTAAAAATGCTGGGTTCCACACAATTACATCATGTTGTCCCAACACAAATCGATTGAGTTAACGTAGTAGTTTTTACAAACTGAACATAAAACAATTCCCCAACAAAAAAACAAAACAAAAACAACACAAAATAATTGTGTTGATTCAACTCATTTTAAACAAGCAATTTAAACAAGCAGCAAAAGTCACGTTTTGAGTGTAGGGGACTTTTTCTTTATTTTCTTTTTTTTTTCAGATTTATAGCTCAAATTAAGGTCCTTGTTATTTATAAAGTCAATAGCTATGTTTGCATCCACCTAATTTAATGAGCATTTTGGGTTATCGCATTAAAAAAATGCTTGATGGAATGCCAAAATGTGCCTAAATTTTGAAAATGTGCATAAAAAAGTTGGCTGATAAATGCTGATTTTTAATATTATTGTTTATATCGGCACAATAATTAGTTATCGGCCGATATATGCAGATTTTTTTCATATGTTTGTTTAAAACTGCCTAATAAGAGAATCAGTTATCGGTCAATATATACAGATTATTATTATTATTGTTTATAACAGCCCAATAAGAGAATTAGTTATCAGTCAATATTTGCTGATTTTTATTATTATTGTTTATGTCATCCCATTAAGAAAATTAGTTATCGGTCGATATATGCTGATTTTTAATAATATTGTTTATATCGGCCCATTAAGAGAATTAGTTATCAGCCAATATATGCGGATTTGTAAATAATACAATTGTTTAAAACGGCCTAATGAGAAAATTAGTTATCGGCCGATATATGCTGATTTTTTATGTTATTGTTAATATCGGAGCAATAAGATAATTAGTTATCTGAGGATATGTGCTGATTTTTAATATTATGGATTACATAAGCCCAATAGGACAGTTAGTTATCGGGCTGTTTACATGCTGATTTTTAAAATTATTGTTTATATTTTCCCATTAAGAGAATTAGTCTTCGGACGATACATATACTGATTTTTAATACCGTTGTTTATATCAGCCCAATAAGAGAATTAGTTATCGGCCGATATATGCTGATTTTTATTATAATTGTTTATATCCGCCCAGTAGGAGAATTAGTTATCGTTTGATATATGCAGATTTTTTATATTGTTATTTATATAGGCCTAATAAGAAAAATAGTTATCAGCCGATAAATGCAAAATTTTACTATTATTTTTTCGGCCGATATATGCTGATTTTCAATATTATTGACTATATCGGCTCAATAAGAGAATTAGTCATTGACCATTATATGCAGATTTTTTATACTATCGTTTATATCGGCCCAGTAAGAAAATTAGTTATCGGCCGATATATGCAGATTTTTTATATTATCGTTTATATCGTCCCAGTAAGAAAATTATTTATCGGCCGATAAATGCTGATTTTTTTAAATTATTGACTATAACGGCCCAATAAGACAATTAGTTATCAGCCGATATATGCAGATTTTTTCTATTATCGTTTATATCAGCCTAAAAAGAGAATTAAGTATATATATAAATGTTTGTTTTTTAATGTGAAAATGATAAGAGAATGAATTATTAACCGACAAATGCCTGTTATGGATTATTACCACTGGTTGATCAACTTAAGATGAACTCAGCGTCATGAGTGGTTCAGTTGAAAGCTCAAGTCATTAACAATTCCAGCATACTTCCTGCACAAACGTAACACATTTGCATAATGGAAATCTGCAATCTTCACTGAAAGCCCGCACAAACATCTATTTTGACCCTCAAACACTGTTGTAGATGAGGCCTGGAACAGTTCGATTTTTCGGGAGTCTTCTTTCCAAAGAAACTTTCAAAGGATGAGGACTCAAACTGATACAGTAAAACAGATGTGATCAGTACTGTTGTGTTTACAAGTAAAGAAATATTCAGAAATGCTAATGATCATTTGGTTTCCGACCAATCATAACAGTAGTGCCTCTAACCAATCAGTGAAGTGCAGACTCTGAAAGGCGGAGTTTTCTGACTCTGAGAAAAGAGCTGACACTACAGTTTATGCAATGGGAAAATGAACATGTTTTTTGGCCTTAAATAGGTCTAAATCCTATTTTGGGAAAATCCAAAAAAAAAACCAGCGGTCTTGAAAACAGCATATGAAACTACAATCTCCAAATGAGCATTATCTGAGCATTAAAATGTGCTTTTTGTGGGTCGAGTTCCTCTGTTTGGGTATTTAGATGTTGCCACTTTGACACCTCGCCTGTCAATCATTCATCACTTTCTCTCTCACACTCAAGGCTAATTCTATTTTTAACCCAACTTCACGTTGTTTAGCTTGTTTCTGCATCGCAATGAGAAGCCAGTGATGCATTATGGAATCAGATTCACTTTTTTCGAAATCTATGCGCATTTAAATCCATTTGCCGGCTTCTATGGCGATGGCTGAATCATCTCCAGCTGTTCTCACATCTGATATCTGACGTCCATCAGTCTTGTTTATGGACAATTATTACTCAAATATCGCTTGTTATTAACTCAAGTATAATTCAGTTAAGCATGAAGTTGGTTTCTTCTGAAATAGAGACACAAATTACATACTGTACACTCAAAAAAACACTCATTTTTTCTTGGTTTCCCAAAGATCTTTCAAGTAAAGGTAAAAAAATTATGTTAAAGACATTTAAAAAATTTATATATATTATTTATTATTTTTTTCATTCTGCTGAAACAAGAACATTTTTAAAATTCGTACTTGAAAGTTCGCATAACATTGAGATTACACATGAGAAAAATTGCAGAATGTCCTTTAGTTTATTATACCTGAATGTTCTTACAACATCGATAAAAATCAGAGAACATCATTCAAAAGAATGTTGTTATGAAATCATTTTTTTAGAGAAAACATTGTAAGAACATTTTCAGAATGTCCTCATTAGCCGCTGTTCAACTTGAACGTCCTCATAAATATTGACAGAATGTTCTTATAAACAGTACCCTCAAAATCTTTTATGTTTGCTGAATGTTAAATCTAAATCCTCTACATAAAACATATGCTGGATAAGTTGGCGGTTCATTCTGCTGTGGTGACCCCAGATTAATAAAGGGACTAAGACGAAAAGAAAATTAATAAATGTTCAAAGAATGCTATATTTTAAGTTGGCTACAAATTAAGGTTAGAATGATGCGCTAACATTCACTATGACCTTTTAAAAAAAACATCTGTTCACGCTTTTAGAACATACATTTGCTGACTGGGAATCAACCTAAATTTTACGAATGTGCACAGTCGATATTCAAGATTTCTGAGTTTAGATCTGAGAGGACTCTCTAGTAAGGGAAAGCGATTAGTCGATTCTTCTTATTCTGCATATAAATTTGAGGGAAAATATTCTGAGAACATTTTTGCAATGTCTTTATAAACATTCTTATAGCATTAAGATAACTTATTCTGAGATGGACATGTCTGGAATGTCCATAAGATGTTTGTACTGTACTTCTCTTTAGGAGACAACATTCAAATAATCACATATTCCGAGCATCTTTAAGTGTTACTACTTGATGAATGATCTCATAACATCTTGAGAAAATCATCATTTCTGAACGTTGCATTTATAATGAGTGAAAATCTCCTGGCTCAACAGATTCAGGATGTATTTTTGATTTCATGAACGTTTGAAGCACTGAAATATATATATTTTTTATGATGTTGAGAGGAAACATTACAAGAACATTTTCAAAATTCGTACTTGAACATTCGCTTAACATTGATATTACGCATAAGAATTTGTATGAGAGAAAACATTGTAAGAACATTTTCAGAATGTCCTCATTAGCCGCTGTTCTACTTGAACGTCCTCATAAATATTGACAGAATGTTTTTATAAACAGTACGCTCAACATATTTTTATGTTTACTGAATGTTGAATCTAAATCCTCTACATAAAACATATGCTGGATAAGTTGGCAGTTCATTCTGCTGTGGCGACCCCAGATTAAAGGGACTAAGCCGAATAGAAAATAAATTATTGAATGTTCAAAGAATGCTATATTTTAAGTTGGCTACAAAATAAGGTCAGAATGATGCGCTAACATTAACTGTGACCTGTTAAAACAACATGTGTTCACGCTTTTAGAACATATATTTGCTGACTGAGAATCAACCTCAATTTTACAAATGTGCACATTCGATATTCAAGATCTCTGAGTTTAGATCTAGGAGGAATCTCTAGTAAGGGAAAACGATTAGTCGATTCTTCTTATTCTGCATATAAATTTGAGGGAAAATATTCTGAGATCATTTTTGCAATGTCTGTATAAACATTCTTATAGCATTAAGAGAAATTATTCTGAGATCGACATGTCTGGAATGTACATATGATGTTTGTACTTCTCTTTAGGAGACAACATTCAAATAATCACATATTCCGAGCATCTTTTAGTGTTACTACTTGATGAATGATCTCATAACATCTTGAGAAAATCATCATTTCTGAACGTTGCATTTGTAATGAGTGAAAATCTCTTGGCTTAACAGATTCAGGATGTATTTTTGATTTCATGAACGTTTGAAGCACTGAAATATATATATTTTTCATGATGTTGAGAGAAAACATTACAAGAACATTTTCATAATTCGTACTTGAACGTTTGCTTAACATTGAGATTACGCACAAGAATTTGTATGAGAGAAAACATTGTAAGAACATTTTCAGAATGCCCTTATTAGCCGCTGTTCTACTTGAACGTCCTCATAAATATTGACAGAATGTTTTTATAAACAGTACGCTCAACATATTTTATGTTTGCTGAATGTTGAATCTAAATCCTCTACATAAAACATATGCTGGATAAGTTGGCAGTTCATTCTGCTGTGGCGACCCCAGATTAAAGGGACTAAGCCGAATAGAAAATAAATTATTGAATGTTCAAAGAATGCTATATTTTAAGTTGGCTACAAAATAAGGTCAGAATGATGCGCTAACATTAACTGTGACCTGTTAAAACAACATGTGTTCACGCTTTTAGAACATACATTTGCTGACTGAGAATCAACCTCAATTTTACAAATGTGCACAGTCGATATTCAAGATCTCTGAGTTTAGATCTAGGAGGAATCTCTAGTAATGGAAAACGATTAGTCGATTCTTCTTATTCTGCATATAAATTTGAGGGAAAATATTCTGAGATCATTTTTGCAATGTCTGTATAAACATTCTTATAGCATTAAGAGAAATTATTTTGCGATGGACATGTCTGGAATGTACATATGATGTTTGTACTTCTCTTTAGGAGACAACATTCAAATAATCACATTTTCAGAGCATCTTTAATTGTTAATATCAGAATATTCTCAAAACATCTGAGAAAATCATCATTTCTGAACGTTGCACTAGTAACGAGTGAAAATCTCTTGACTCAACTGATTCAGAATGTCTTTTTGATGTTATTTGTAATATATATATATATATATATATATATATATATATATTTTTTTTTTTTTTTTTTTTTTTTTNGATGTTAAGAGGAAACATTCCAAGAACATTTTCAAAATTCGTACTTGAACGTTCGTATAATGTTGAGATTACGCTTAAGAACAATTTCAGAATTATTTATAATTCTTAATGTTTATATTGTTCTTACAACATCTAAAAAAATCAGAGAACATCATTCAAAGGAATGCTGTTATGTCATTTTTATATGAGAAAACATTGTGAGAACATTTTTAGAATGTCCTCATTAGCCGCTGTTCTACTTGAACGTCCTCATAAATATTGACAGAATGTTCTAAGTAACAGCACGCTCAACATCTTTTATGTTTGCTGAATGATAACCTTTATAATTATGTTCAAAGAACGCAATATTTTAAGTAGGCTACAAAATAAGGTTATGATGATGCGCTAACATTAACTGTGACCTTTAAAAACACAACAAAACAACATCTGTTCACTCTTTTATTACATACATTTGCTGACTTGGAATTAACCTCAATTTTACAAATGTGTACAGTCGATATTCAAGATCTCTGAGAAGAATATCTATTTAGAGAAAAATGATTAGCCGATTCTTCTCCCGAAAGCGCTCCTGTCAACGCCGAGTCTGAGAGAAACAATTTCCATGCTAAACAGATCTCATTTGATTCGTCTTCATTTTCTCCTGCTCTCTCCTCATTAAGTCTACAAGCGCAGATCTGACCTAAATACGTATCAGACGCGAGGGACGGAATCTCCATGACTGATTTATTAGGCGTCAGATCCTTCACCTCCACATTCCTCCACATCCTTCCTCCTGCTATAATAAACGAGACTTTTTAATAGCCGAAATCGAATGTCTGAAGACAAACCGAGCGCTAAATCTGGTGTCTGACTTCACCCGCGCACTCTTCCATTGATAAAGAGCGGCGCGCGTGTCAGTGACTCGTGCACACGCTCCCGCTCACTTACCTCCGGCTGTCGTGCTCGTGGCGGAGGAATTTCCACATCCCATTTTGGCATGAACGCAGTTTTTCGGTGTCTGCTGGAGAGGACGAATGAGGGGAGGACGACTATGATGTGATTCACGAGCTCCCTCTATCATTCTGTAGAGAGAGAGAGAGAGAGAGAGAGAGAGATGCTCGAGCCTCACATGACCGCCGCGCTTTTCCTCCACCCTGACAGGCTGCTGTGGAAACGGGGCGGAGGTGTGATTGGACTTTAGTTTAAGTTCGTGTATAATCAAAATGTACTATGTTTATTTTAGTTGCGCACATTGTCGATCTCTTTGTGAACAATAAACCCGTGCAAGTTAGTCCACTGAAAATAAAAAACTGTTTTTGGTAATCCACAATTAAAGTCAGCATTTGCTTACTCATTTTTATTATTATTATTATTATTATTATTATTATTATTATTATTATTATTATTATTGACTTCAATAACAAACATACAAAATTCAATTTTACACAAAAAACACAATGATAATAACAGATCAGGATAAACAATATAAACTTTAAAAATTAAATAAAAAGAGAAACAAAAGAGAGAAAAGAAAATAAATAAATAAATAAATAAGTTTAAACATATACATACATAACACAAATACAGGAGGACTATGTATCCATGCTATTTCCATAATATTTATCATAAAAAACTAAGAATCTTTTTCTTATTATTAACTAGTCTAAGAGATTTAATTAAAACATCAATTTCTATTAAAAAATGTGAAAAAGAAGGCAAAAAAAAACAAAAAAATTTTTTTTGTTTGTGAATAAAATATTTTCCATACAAAATAAAAAAATGAATAATGTAATTCTCTGATTTATCAGTTTTACCTTTTTAATAACAAATGATATCTTGAAGATGAAAGAGTCTGGAAGAAGCAATGTAGTTACCTATATGGAGATATAAGCTTTTCCAAAAGGTTTTTGTGCTTTCACATTGAAAAAAATATGTGAATCAGCGTTTTGTCTTCACTCTTACAAAATGTGCATGAACTGTCAATCTCCAAATACTTTGCCAAAGTACCATTCACTGGGTATATTTTATGATGAATTTTGAAATTAACCTCTTTTGTTTTATTGGGAATGCAGTACTTATGAGGTAATAGCCAGGCTTTTTCCAGTCTGTTGTGTCAAGGAAGGATGCCCAGTAAAAATTTGCCTTTAGGAACATCATATTTTTTATTTTGAAAAATTTGTCGAATATAATTATTATTAAATTTTTTGTCAAATAGACTAATTCCATTTAATATCAGCTCTGGTTCTTTAATAACATTTTCATTAAACATTAAATGAGGTTTTATAAGTTGAATTAGGCCTAAAGGAATTGCTTTTTGCACAGCATTAAATTCTTTAAAAGGTAATGGAAAATTATTATTAGACATAAATTGTTCATAAGACAAAACTTGCCGGACTTATCAAAAATTGAGAGAATCCCAATTATATTTCTGTTAAACCACGTAGATAGAAAAATAGATTTATTTCTAATTCTAATATCAGAGTTGTTCCGTAAAATGCATTCATGTGGTGAGAAATGGGAATAACACAATTTCCAGGAAAGTAGGACCTGCTGGTGAAATTTTGATAGTGATTTGCTTACTCATTTGGACTGGCAGTTATTCTCTGATGACGTCAGTTTGACGGCGTTTGCAACAATATTCTTAACCACGCCCCTCTTAATATTGTTGTGTGTTGGCACACTTAAAGAGCACTGAAAACATCTCTGAACCTATATATGACTTGATTTTATATTATGGAAGGTAAGATGGAAGAATCAGTTGAAACATAACATGATAATAAAGTTTCAGCTCATTTATAATAGATGAATTACCAACCTACGTCACACATGACGTTACATGGGTTCCCGGTTGCAAAAAGAGATCGCTGGCAATTGTAAACATGTTGTGTTGTGCGGTAGGATGCCAAATTTGAAAAATAGAAAACGTAACATTTACTGTACACCACACTGCTTTTAATGCCAACTGCAGACGTCTTTGGCTGAAAGGGAGCTGAATGAAGTGACTACCTAATTAAAAATGCTGAACTCTGCAGTTCTCATGTTATATCAGGTAAGTTCACGCTATGCTGAGTCATACACATTACCCATTTTTGATTGCAGCAATGGTTTCAGCAAAAACAGTTACATGTGGTTAATTAAACTGCGGAAACTAAATGCTAAGAATGGAATGTTATTAAGGTAAAATTGGTTTTATATTCACAAATTCATTCAGTGACAACTTGTGACACACTCCCTATATTGTTTACCACGGCACTTTGAATATTATTGAAATAACCTGCAAGTGTGACTTGAAAACAACACTAACACTGTTTATTTGACTGTGAACATGTTGTTCTTTGATAGTCATTGGCTGCTAATATGATTTCGTTACTTAGAGGTTGCAAATAATACTTTTATGAAATTATATTAATAAGGAGAAAGTCTGAATGTGCGAATATAAAACCAACTTTACCTTTATGTGTATGTTCACATACCCCGCCGTACAGGTGCAGTTCGCTGTCAGAATGCAGTCGTTTTGTTCGTTGATGATAACCCAGGCCTTGTATAACGTTATCTCCGTCTTTTTTTCCTGTCTTCCACTAGGCAAAACCATGTTTTTTAACACTACATAATTTTGAATCTGGAGACCATGGAATATTATTTCTTGCACATGACCACACAGAATAACATTGTTGGCATCCAAAGACTTGTACGCCTTTAATTTCTCTCTTGTTAAAACACTTGGAGTTTCAATGAGATTGTATATTAGGGGCTGGATGCTTGGTCACTTCGTCTTGTCCAATATCCATTGGGAGGGTGCTATCGCAAATTGTCAGACGAACGCCGCTCACTTTAACAATAATTTTGCCGAATCACTGTGCTTATCACTGGGTGACAAGCTGTTATAATATGCTGAAAGCGTTATGTAAATAATATATATAATATGTAATAAAAATAACTTATTTCTAATACAACAACAAACTCTGTACAGCATCGGATGTCATTCCCTCGCTGTAAATGCTAGCGCTCCCAGTTTTTTCTGCCACCTTGCTGCTCGCGCATCATGAGTGTTTACAAACATGGTAATTCATCTATAGTGACCTGGGATTTGTGATTGGATCAAATCAGTTCATTCTCATGAATCAATGCACAGAAAACACTGAAAACCATGCAGAATGTGCGCATTTACCCTGTGCTTAATTTGTGAATGAATGATTTCTTGGAAATATAAGTTACCGTGTCTGACGAAATGATAAAATATTATTTAGGTAGGCCGCTACACCATTAGTTATTTTTCGCTGCTCACTGCGCACTTACAATCACTCTCATTGGTTGGTGAGTGTAAGTACGCAGTGAGCAGCGAAAATAAATAATGGTGTAGCGGCCTAGATGTAAGAAAGATGATTGGCTGAAAATATTGTTGAGAGCCAATAGTTAAACGTGACTTCTGCTTTAACTTGCGCATGATGATACCGTCGTGTGTGCGCACACATAGCCTTTGCTTACGCTCATTCACATTCTCTCGCATGCACACACACGCACAAGTTAATGCTGGATCAGTTAAATACCAGAACACAAAAACGCACCTGACATTTTTCCAAACAGGATGCAGCAAGATCCAGCTCAAGTTAAGCACTGCATTTACCTCATAGCATTTTTTTTTTTACCAGAAGATCAAATTTGCTCTAAACAATGCAAAAAATTTCACTTTATAGTAAACGTGTGTGTCCTAATAGTGTTTTTGTCGACATCTACACGTATATATCTGACAAAATCTAAAACAAAAATGAATAAAAATAAGAGTTGCATGATCCTTTAAATCACGGTAACACTGCTCTTTTCACCCCATAGACTTTCATTTATATGCTTGCGAATGCGACACTCAAGCTTGTGCAAGTTTCACATGTCGCTGCTTCTCAAAGATCAAGCTTGGTAAACTTTTACCTGCAAAAATGCATCACATGATTGTGTGAGACCGAAATTAGAGAACATGACCTCTCTATACAGTCATTTTAAATAACTCACTTTACTGCTGTCTAATCATCTTGTTTAATCCTGCCCCTTTTCCGCTCAAAAAAAAGACCCAATCAACATACTAAAAAAAAAGTCTCAGCAACTTCCAGAAATATGAGTTTGCAGGAAATGCAACAAAGCATATTTTTATACTATATAAATACCTTGAAAATAACAGTAAACACAAGCAAGAATTATATCAAATTAAATATACAATAAAAATATATGATAAAAATTTAAGTAAATATATTAATATAATATACAACAATATTTTGGAGCTATATGAGATGGTGAGTATTCATCATCTTAAAGCTGAATAAAAATAAGCTTTTCGTTGATGTGTTGGTTCATTAGGACAGGGAAAATATTTAACGAAGAGACACATTTTTGTGAAATATCTAGAATTTGATGCTTAAAAAAATCGAAATATTTAATCTTTAAAATGCTCTGAATTAAGTTTTTAGCAGTGCTTCTAATCAAAAATTAAGTTTTGACTTGTTTACAGAAGGAAATTTTCTGAATGTCTTCATGGAAGATGGTCTTTACTTAATATTAAAATGACTTTTGGCATAAAAGAAAAATCAATCATTTTAATTCATTAAATGTTTTTGGCTAAAAAAGTGTACAGCAAGTATGTTGGTTCCACAATTATTATCATCAAGTGTTCATGAGATGGATTGCCTGAGGGAAGAAACTTTTTCTGTGTCGGGCTGTTCTGGTGCGCAGTGCTCTGTAGCGTCGACCAGAGGGTAACAGTTCAAAGAGCAAGTGTGCTGGGTGCGAGGGGTCCAGAGTGATTTTGGCTGCCCTTCTGCTCACTCTGGATAAGTACAGTTCTTGGAGAGTAGGGAGGGTTGTACCAGTTATTCGCTCAGCAGTCCGAACTATTCGACATAGTCTTCAAAGGTCAGATTTAGTAGCTGAGCTAAACAAGACAGTTATTGACGTGCAGATGACTGATTCAGTAAAGGAGGTGTAGAACTTTTTTTTTTTTTTTACCGGTTTTGTGGTCCAGGGAAACATTTATAGAAATCTTAGGTAGGCATTATAATTCATTTTAATAAATAAAATATTAATATAATGAAAAAGGGCAATTCAATCAACTTGGAGACTATATTTAA